ATAATTATATTTTATAAATTAATTTTATAAAATAATTATATTTTATAAATTTCAAATATAAATAAACTTTCAAATAAATAAAAAATAAAATTTTGTAATTTTCTTTTTTATAAAAAATTTTAATTCATATTTATAAAATTTCTTTATAATTATTTAAATAATTTTTTAATTAAAAAATTATTTTAAAAAAGTCAAAATTTTTCATTTATGAATGTGTATATATATTATCGTAAATACAATCGATATAAAACATCGTGTTTCCGCGCAATATAATAATCCATATAGAGACATACAAATGTGTGTTATCTTATTATAGTAATATCGCTTTTAAAAAAAAAACGGATTATAGGATGAACTTACTATTATTGCCGTAAGAGACGTCGATTCTCCTCTTCACGAATTTTGGCAGATTTAATTTTAATTATTTTATTCAAAAGCGCCGGATTTATTAGATTTATCCGCATAAAGGAAGCGCATAAAGATCTTATCAGTAACGATCTCATATAAAATGATCATACATTTTATTCAAAAAAATCCTACGAAAGCTCTGCTGTCGATGATTCTTAAATTGTTATATAAATTTTCATCGCGAGAATCGACTAAGTACGCTGGCTCAGAAAAATTGATATTGATACATTTACTAATTGGCTAAATCTAATTATTCTATATTGTGGTTCCTGCACAAAAATAATTGATCTCTTTATACTGAACATTATTATGTTTTGTAGATCTTCATTTGATTTATGTGTTGGCTCAAGAAAATTTTTTCATTTCGCTTGTCATTTGTATATTTATATATTTCACACTATTCAAGGTAAATCAGTAGATAAGACTTCTTGTTTGAGTCACTATTCATGAATCATTAAGATATTAAACAATTTAATTAAACAATATGATTGAAATATCACTTAATAGTTAATCATTTTTTAATACCATAAAAATTAATTAACTTACTCAAGATATAAATACTGTTGCAGTTATAATTATTTAGATTAGAGGTTAGTTTATACTTTTTTATTATTCAAGAAATATTTTCTGACTATTTTGAACAGTGTATCTTCATTCTCTACGTTCTTAATATTAATGCCCTAATACTTTGATTTTTTTCAATTCTTTAGTTTATAACAGGTTAGTATTACTATTTCCTAACCTTACATATATATTCTTAGAGCCAATACATGATAGAACAAATATAAATTCAGCATAAAAAAATACATACGATACGATACGCGTATTTTTATTCAGGAACCGAAAACCTTATTGTTCAATATTATTATAAAAAGAAACTAAGTAATATTATTTAGGCGATTTTCGTAAGCTCCTATTTGGCTTTGTTAAGAGATAGAAGTACGGTCGGCAAAGACTTTCAATCGCTCATAATTAATTTTATAAGACATTGTCCTTTCATTTTTTTTTTTTTTTTGTTTAACACTTTTCTTATAATAAAACATTATGTTATTAGTCAATTACACGAAATTACAATGAGCAAATTTCTTTCCCGAACTCACTTGAACTATAGCAAAACTACCAAAAAAAGCATTTATAGAAAAAATTTTCATACAAAAAAGATATATGAAAAAATATATCTCGATTAAGCAGTTTGCTCTAGCCAAAGTCAGTTTCGGATGTTATTCAACTTGTCAAACTATTGAACATTTCCAAATATTTTCAGTACTTCGAAAATAATGCAATCCAAATCTAATACCAACTTATATAATTATATATAGCTACAAATCATTATAAAAATTCGAATTAAGATTTGCAAAACTTTCGAAATACTGATGAAAAAAAACAAAACTTGTTTTACCTGAGACATAAGTAAAAATCATAATAAAAAAATTTCCGCTGTACAAATTGTTAACTAAATGTATCATGAATTTAATTCATATTTTTATGTACGTTCATTAACAATATTTCCTCCTTTATGCTATTCATCTCTAATCAAATCGAATTAAATATCTCTTATAACTTAATAAAATTAACACGAAAGCTCTCTCTAGCAAAATATAAAAATCAATCTTATTGAACACAAAGATTCCGTACGTAATATTTGGTGCTTATCGTACCCTATTACCGGGTCAAAATACATTCCCCTATTCCCATCCCTGTACGAGATAAAAAAAGTTCTGCATTGTTAAAAAATTCTCCATTTAAGATTTTAAATGTTATATCTTTATAACAAGCAGTTTTTTCTAATCTCTCTTTCACTCTCGTTCTCTCTCCCATTTGTGCTGATTTTCAGCGATTATTACGCATACAGGACGTATTTAAGATTTATCAATATACTTATTGATAAACTCGCATTTAATACAAAATGATATATAAGTATTATACTAAGAAGTTCTATGAAATGGCACAAGAATTTGTTTCCTCATTCACCATCACAAGATGTATGTTTCATTTATAGAAATTTTTGGCCAATATCTATTTTTATATTTGCTTTATCACAAATAATTAATCAAATACATATTGCCTTCAAAGAACTTCTATTGAACAATGTATAGTATTTTATTAGTCACCATTGATACAAACAAATATCTTTTTCTTGAAGTGACTAATTATAAAAATTTAATATGCAATGAATATGATTGAATATTAATCTACAGTGCATATGATACCCAAATAATAATACCGTGCGAATATTATCTTTGGAATCAAATCTTGTTTTTAATAATAAAAATATTTTTCTCTCCTTTTTATTTTTTTGTTTTAAACAATGAAAATGTATAGAGAGAATAAATAATTTCCAGATATTCAATTTATAAGTTAGATTTCTTATAAAATTTCTTATCAAATGATAATAAAAAATTATCTTGTACAAAATATGTAATTTTTCATGCAATTTTCTAAATAAGAGATGAAAATATAATAAACAAGAAATGAGATAATTTATGCAGTACAAGAATTAATTTACTGTTTAATTATAGATTTTGATAATACTTTTTCTTAAACATTTGTTTAACTAAAGATATATATACGCATATATTCAGTTATGCTTTTACTACATATGATTTATCCGATCACAAAAAATTGATCAACGATTTATTGTGCAAATTATCACATTAAGTTCGTATTAAAGGAAGAGGAAAAAATGTAATTTTATCTTTTTCTCACTAAAAAAATTAAATAAAAAAATTGTTATTTTATATATACGTAAGTTTGCCTTACTAGAAAGAAAATATTTAATTTGAAAGATATTAAAATATTTAAAACAAATAAAATTATGTTACATAAAATTTTCCGAATAAATTATTAAATAAATATTAAAATTTTTAATATTTAAATAAATATTAAAAATTGAAAAATGAATAATTCTATATTTAATATTCTGAACTATTATAATTTATTGTATATGATTCTAAATTATTGAAAAAAAAAATAAAATTTATTTTATTTGAACATTCTTTTCAATATGTTTCTAAAACTAATTAGTTATTTTATTTCTAGATAAGCAATCATACGTTACTCCTTTGCAGAAGTTTTATCGAAGTGCTTAGGCAACAACAATGTGTTATATAATACTATAATCTCACTCTAACTAATTCTAAAATAATAAATAAATGTTGCGTAAATTCATCTACGTGCGGACACAAAAGGAAAAAACATTTTGACTTTGAAAATGTTACTCAAACTTAACCCCTTTAAGTGTTCCATGCCATATAGATCTGCCAATTGTTATAAAAATGATTAATTAAACTGCAGCAGTATCATCAGTATTTCTCAATAGTGCAGCCGCCTTTACGACATCACCGCCACATTGATTTAACATTACTTTGCAATCTTCCAGACCAACGAAATTGTTTTCTTTTTTAAGTAAACTTTGAAGACGTTCTAGCTTAATTGCAGCCAATACATCCCAATCAGTGACATTTAATGCAGCTATGCATGATTCTGGAGTGGACTGCTCGTGCAATACTTTCATCATGATTCTAACTTCATCAGACTGTTCTCCATTCCGAGGACCACGTGTTCTTCTTGCATTTGGTCCATCACAAGCGAATTCCAATAAATCCTCACAAGAGACATGATCAGATTGTCGCGAAAGATCACTTGTATGTCTAGATAATTTTTCATTAGACAATCTATTGTAGTTAGTTGTTAAACCTGTAGAATGAAAACTATCATTTGAATCAGTAATAGAGGATTCTTTTAAGATTTCCGTCTGTTGTTTGTTCGTATCACATCGTGACTGTGAATTGTTTTCTGAATATTCTCCATAATTGAACTGCATCATATAGTTTGAAGGTTTTTGAATTAATAATGTTCTTTTACATATTTGAAGTTTACTTGGTGTGAGATCACCTTTGAGAGAGATCATTGAATCTTCAGATTTATTCATATCTGATGGAGTAGAGTTTCTATTTGCTTCATCTGTTTCATTTTCTTGAACATATTTCGAAGTATTACTTCTGAGAGAAGTCTTTGATTCAATGCTGATTTTTCTCTGGAGTCGTTCTGTTGAAGAATCAATAGATTGTACATCACTAATTTCCTGTGTATTTTGTCGATAATCTGGTGTATCACAATCAATTAAATTGTCAGAAAATTCAAGTAGGTCTTCAGAGATCACACTGAAGCGGTGCAATCTATTTTCGTCTGCCGATAACGAGTCCAATGCAGCAAATTCAGAGTCTATACGCTGTTCAAATTCTTCTGGACTGAAAAAGAAAAACTTGTTAGCATCCAATTAATTAATCTTGAAATTATAGTAATATAGTAAAAAAGATTCTAACCTATTAGTTGAATTTTCTGATGAATATCCTTCATGTAATGAACTGCTGGCTATGGAAGAACTCGTACTCTGCATACTTCCATCTACCTGATCTTCGATAGGCGGTGTAGTGACTGCCATTTTGGCCAAAGTTCTAGTTATACCACCACCTGGTATAATCAAAGGATGCTTCCTCTGATGCCTGGGTAAACTAGATTTTGGTTGCAGCGTTTTAGATCTGTCTCTAGGTGGCAACGGTATAGGATTCTCGTCTACATTGTTCTGGTTTTGATTATTTTCTATTTCCTGAGTAGAATGATGTCTCTCTAGATGACGGGAATAAGGTATGGGCGGCGGTGCGTGTGGTGGTGGCGGCGCTCTTATTTTTGGCAGTGTCTTGGAACCACTGTGATAGGCTTCAAAATGAAAATGATCGGCAGCCAAATCATCTTGATGAGACACTGGATGACCCAGAGTGGCATGTTTATTTCCACGAATTCTGGGTCTGACAATGGGTAAGCCTGAACGTAGCATGCGCAATGGATTTGTATCCGGAGAGGTTTCTATGCTGGGCGTCTCCACAAGGCTGTTGTATACTTCCTTGGCTTCATCCGACAACGTAGCCTAAACAAGTCGTGGGAGGGGATAGATTTGGGAAAGAGAAACAGAAATTAAAGAACGAAAATAACAAATAAAAGAAAAGATAGATAGATAGATAGATAGATAGATAGATAGATAGATAGATAGATAGATAGATAGAGAGAGAGAGAGAGAGAGAGAGAGAGAGAGAGAGAGAGAGAGAGAGAGAGAGAGAGAGAGAGAGAGAGAGAGAGAGAGAGAGAGAGAGAGAGAGAGAGAGAGAGAGAGAGAGAGAGAGAGAGAGAGAGAGAGAGAGAGAGAGAGAGAGAGAGAGAGAGAGAGAGAGAGAGAGAGAGAGAGAGAGAGAGAGAGAGAGAGAGAGAGAGAGAGAGAGAGAGAGAGAGAGAGAGAGAGAGAGAGAGAGAGAGAGAGAGAGAGAGAGAGAGAGAGAGAGAGAGAGAGAGAGAGAGAGAGAGAGAGAGAGAGAGAGAGAGAGAGAGAGAGAGAGAGAGAGAGAGAGAGAGAGAGAGAGAGAGAGAGAGAGAGAGAGAGAGAGAGAGAGAGAGAGAGAGAGAGAGAGAGAGAGAGAGAGAGAGAGAGAGAGAGAGAGAGAAACAGACAGACAGACAGACACAGAGACAGAGACAGAGAGAGTGACTATAATTTAAAATATGAAAAAATGAGAGCATATACAGAAATTTGGATCCTCTCTAGTTGAAAGTAAATCGCAAGCACGTGGAAAAATAATAAATACACTCTTTATGCCTCATGATGCAAATCAATATACCAAAAAAAGGGGAACAAATTATAAAATATATATTCGATATAAACCGATTAAAAATATTATCTTAAACGGAAAAAATGCAATGTATTTCCTTGTACATGTATATAAGACAAAGTATTAATATTAAAGTTAAAGATCCGTATGTTGGCATATGTAATTCAATGATTAACATATTCCCATTAAAATTTCCTTTCAAGTACAAATAGTATAAACGTGTAAATGTATCCAAACATATTATCGACTAGATATTATTATTTAATTATTATTATGTAACATGCAAGCATGCTAAGCGTATGTGATTGAAGAACTGTTTCAGAACAGTTTTCGTTTAAGTACACTGTATATTGTCCAGAGTTGGGTATTATTTTCGATTTATATAATCTACATGATCTCCAAGATAATCTTTAAAATAAAATTTAATTCATCATATTTACTATTAATTATAGTTGAGCAATAATCATTTCATTTAATGACCACAAGATTTTAATAAAAAAAACAGCAACTCTTGCATTCCTTTTATATTCATAATATATCATCTATTAAGAATTATATTTTCATTTTTAAATATATATATATATATATATAAGATGTTAATATATAATTTATGGGACTCTTTTGGAGAATTAATTCTAGAAGCCAAAATAAAAGTTAGTATATAATAATGTGATATTAATTTTTGTCATACATGTAACACAGATAGAGCCGTTTTTCTCATTTTAATTATTTCAATTATTTGTAACTTTATGAAGTTAGAAAATAAGCTTTATCTTCGTCACACGGCTGTCTCGCTCTATCTCTGCCTTGCTTCATCTAACATAATAATTTATAATAAATAAATTTCAATCGATATTTTTGCATATCAACTTGTCTTTTTTTTTTTTTTGGTCTTTAGAATCAATCCTATCTCACAAATATATTAATATCTATTTGAGGATTTCTTATGAAAATTATTCTATTGAAAAAGCCATTGTCTTATAACATAGAAAATTTTTTAATGTGAATTCATTCAAAACTTTCACGAATTACTATCAAGAATTTTATTCTTAAATATATTTGCATGTTAATATCATCCTTAATATCAATAATTAATTATGATATTATAATATAATCAATTATAAACGTTCAATGGAATTTAATCTAAGAAAAAATAAAATATTTTTGCCCAACTCTGGCATTGTCCTACATATTTTTGCCAAAAACATGCATTTGGCATATCAATGATGACACATTATAGATATCAGGCTTTAAGACCAAATCTAAAGCATTATAGATTATTTATGGGGCTGGAGATGGTGGAAAAGTCAATATGTCATTTGTGAATTCTGGGTATTCTGAACTAGTATCAGAATCCAAATCAGAATTGCTAGTGAATGTCAGACTAGAACTGGGCGCACTTTCTGGCCAAGAAAGTAAATTATTTCTAGAAGAAAAAGGTGGTGATAGAGAGTTCAAAAAGCTGGTCGATGGAGGCGGAGATTTTCCGCAAAGTTCTATCGATGAAAATCCTCTAGCCGCTTCCGGATGCAAAAAATGACCTTTATTCTTGAAATTTAGTCGTAAATTATGCGGAAGTTTTTTATGACGACGCTTATAACGCAAACGGCTCCGTATGTCTGTTTCCGAATGAGATATAGAATCTGAATCTTCACTAGAATCATTAATAGGATGAAAAGATCTCCTTATATTTTTAAGAGGTGGTTTTCTATTCTCTGATAGGGAAGACGTTCTGTGTCTATATATATTGGTAGCTGTAGACATTTTTTCTAAAAATGTATCAGTCTTAGATAGTTCTTTTCTAGTATTGTCATTCTGATATAATTTCGGTGGTTCTAAAATATGCTGGTGTAGACTAGGACTAGATGGAGGATTCGTTTTTTGTGAAGTCAAATTCAATTTTATACTGGTCTGTGATTGACATTGGAGAGGAATATTCAAATCTAAATGTTTAGGTTTTTGTATATTTAGACTTCTCAGAGATGTTTGGGTTTGACCAGATATATCCAAATTCCTTACACTGGTAACCAATGATTTGGTGGTAGTAGTTTCTATATTTCTTGAATTTTGCGCGATATTCTTTCCTAATTGAATCATATTCTGTGTCAATTTACCCAGACCTAAATTCAATCCTTGGCCTTTCTTTGAATCTAAATAATTCTTTACACTCTCCAAACCTGATACTTCTTTTTGATATTTCTCTGCCAGAAGTTTGCTACTCAATTCTACTTGATTATTTACTTCTGCATCAGATTTTCTTCTAAGTCGTTGGAAATTAACTCGTAAACTTTCAGAACTACTGTAAACGGGAGATTCTTTTTTTTCAGATTCTGCAATGAATAGAGGATTATTGGATATAACAAAAGGAAAACCCTCATGACCATTTTGATTTTGTTCTATTTTACGGAAACTTTGAATATTGATTCTCATAGCTTCCATATTTCCTCTAGGACTGTCTGATCCTCCTCCCATTTTTAAATTTGTTTTTATACTATCTGTAGATCCAAAAATGATACCTTTACTTTCTTGATTTGGATTTCTTGGTACAAATGGTACTTTCCCACTTCTCATCTTTGATATGTCAATTTTCTTAGGAAATTCAGGTATATTCATTTTAGAAGAATCACTAAAAGAACTAGAAATCTTCGGTCTTGTACCGAGGTCTATGTTAATCACCTTATCTCTGGGTAAATCAAATTTAATAGACTTATTACATGTAAAGTCAACAAAGTTTGAAGATTTTTCTTTCATCAAATCAAAGCCAGTAGTTTCTTCGCATTGTATTTCAAAATTTACATTATCCTTCAATGATTGATCGCAATTAACAAATTTGCCTGATATCTGTTGATTATGTTTATTCACAGCAATAGATCCTTGATCCTGAATGTTCGAATAACATCCAGATTTACCTGGTTGTTCTAAATTATTAATCTTGTCGTATTTATCATCGCCGAAATACGATACTTTCTCATTAGGACCTGTTATAGTACTATCGTCGAAATATTTTGATTGTTCAAAATAACGATCCACATAACTAGTGGATACTCTTTTTTGTTCTCGAGAAAAATCGAAATTTGAATTTTCTATATTGAGAGTAGGTACTTTTCCATTTTGTTGAAGAATATTTTGTTTTCCACTTATATCTGTTATACTTTCACAATTGAAATTACTCTTTTTGTTACCATTTTCCAAGAATTCCGTTGACTTCACGAGATTTTGTTTCATAACTGCATTATCAAGAATATGTGCATCGAATTCTATATCCATATAAGAAGTCCATGCAGTGGGTTTAGTTAGAAGTTCACGAGACTTAGCGAAACAAAATTCGGCAGATGCTTTGTCCCATAATGGTAATTTCAAAGTAGATGGTGCTCCAAGTGATTCTATGCTTGATACAGTGGATGATAATGATTGCAAACTTGAACACAACCACTTTATTGATCAATATTGATCATCAATTTTCAAATAATCATGCAATTAGGAAAATTAAATAATAAGCAGTGACAAAAGGCATAGACAAAAATATCGTAATTGAAAGCAAAGCATATTGTATTAGATAAGAAGTTTGACAAATGATTGCATATGATACATAGAAATGAAAGAATATTTAATTATGGCAATATAATAAAAAATGAAAAACAAATAATAAAAAATTAAAAAATTCAAAAACAAACGAAAAATAAACAGACAGGAAAGGATTAGAGGAAAGTCAAGATTAGTCTTTCTTGTAAATTAAGCATTTTATCTTAATACTCAATTAAATAAATTAGGTTGGAATATCAAGAACATATACAATTACAATATACCTACTCTTTTGTGTGGCATCAGGAATTAACTCTGTTCCATAACAGTTTCAACAAAAATGGATTTAAAAGATGTTTCAAAAATATTTTTATCAAAAAAGACGTTTGAAATGTATGAATTACATCATTTATGTTCGTGTTGAAATAAATAATGTTATGTTTGTAGGAACTGATTGTTTTTGTATATTGCTTGTTAATTTTGGTACAAAATAAATTGAATTAATATTTTTTAAGGTACAATATTAAATTGTGTTTTGATTATGTGTATCTTTTAGTAGTTTGATGAACAAACGAAAATATGTTTAATGTACCTGTATGTCAGGTATACTGGCAGCTTCTTCTGAAAAGTGTCGTCTGTCTGGTTTGGGACTGTGTTGATGTGGCAACTTAAAAGAGAACTTTCTGCGTCTTGAAGGACTGGCAGGTGTTCGGGGAGACTCCGGTGGATGTTCAAGGTCTGTCATGGAACGTGCTGTCAATTCCTGTGCCATAGCAATGGCTGAGTAGAGAGTTTTCTGATCGGCTGCTGAGATAGGCTTCACCTAAATATATAAGAAGTAAATGTTTACCATATCTGGTAAATGTAAAATATATAACAATTTTTTTATTTTTTTCAATTTAATGTTAATATATCATATATTATATATAAATGTATATGTATATGTTTTTCTTATATTTATTATTTCTATTTTTTTTTGAATACTAAAAATTTAGGGTTTTATGCTTCAACATGCAAATAATATATATATATATAAAAAAGATTAATGATACATAGCATCAAATAATAAATAAAAAATAAATGATAAATTAATAATATAAAAAAGCATAATAATAAATAAAACAAAAAAATTACTGTACATTTATTGGACTCACGGTGGCTTGCTTTTTTTTATTGCTCTGCTTTGCTTGTATTTCTCTCAGTTCATTTCGAACATTACTTGTTTCATGTTCAGTTGATAAAGGATGAATTGGAGGTGGTGGAGGAGGAGAAGATCCTAATTAAAAAAAAAATGTATATTATTAAAAATTAATATATATAATTATATATAATAATATTAATATATATTATTAATATATATATATATATATTAATAATTCTTCTTTTAAGTCATATCATTATTAAATTTACCTAGTGATCTAAACATTTGATCCATTTCAGCCAATAAACTTGGACCAAAATCAAAATTTAATGTTTTATCAAATCTTAATGGACTATCTTGATTTTCTTCATCACTTATTTCATGATATTCATGATCTGCTCCAAGATCATTATTGCTAGCCATATTTAATGGAATAGATTGTTTACTTGAATTAGCAGTATGGCACACTTCATTTACATCTGACCACAAACTTTCTAATAAAAAAAAATACATTCAATAATATTAAAGAATCCATTAATAATCTTAAAGTTTATAAAAGAATATTATTTTAAAATAAATATGTTATAAAATAGATATGTATACCATGTTTATTTTGAACATCTTGTTGTGTATTCCTATAATCTCTCAATAATTCTCTATTTGTATCCGCGCTTCTTGTTTCCTGGCTTGAAGCTTGACTAGAATTATCCGTTACATCTTCTTGTGGTTTATATGGTGGAACCACTTGTCGTGGTAAATGTGAATATTTTCCGCCGAGAAAACCGATATCACCAAAATAAGCTCCATCTAATCCAACATGACCAGTGTGTTTCAAATCACCTTGTGGAGATGAAATCATATCCGTACGAATCTTTCGCCTTTGAGAAGAAAATGTGTTTTTGCCATCACCACGTGTAAATTCACCTGGTTTATTACTTGGTAAATTAGATCCAAGATATGCTATTGTATGAGCAGGATTAAAAAAGCCAGTTTTTCCATTATTTAGAACACCTTTCCATAATGTGTTACTACTTCCTTTATCAAGAACAGTAATAACATCTCCTTGTCTGTAAACAAGCTGATTTGTTTCCATGCTATCTTGAACAGCTTGAACTTGTTCTGGCTTCAAATCAGGTAAAAGATTAATTAATTCAGAAAATTTGGGGCGTTTAGATGGTTCATGTTGCCAACACTGTTGCATGAGTGAAAAATATTCTTTTGGACAACATTCTGGTTGTTCTAATCTTTGAAAATTAGGATCATCTATCGCTTCTAAAATTTGATGACCTGTTAATGCTGCCCATGGTTGAAAACCATAACTAAACATTTCCCATAAAGTTACTCCATAGGCCCATACATCACTAGCAGAAGTAAATTTTAAATATGATATACATTCTGGAGCACACCATGCTATTGGTAATTTCAAATTTACATTGAAATTTGTTTGATAATAATCTTTTCCAACTCCTAAAGCACGAGATAATCCGAAATCAGATATTTTGACTTTGTTTTTAGAAAATACTAAAATATTCCGAGCAGCAAGATCTCTGTGTATTAATCGCTTTGCCTCTAAATATTGCATTCCATCTGCGATTTGTACAGAAAAGTCACATAATGAAAGTACAGGAAAACTGCTACGTAAACTTGGTTCTTTCAAACATTCTAATAATGATCTCAGAGGTGCTAATTCTGTGACAAGCATCAAAGAATTTGTATCTAAAACTACACCATACAATCTTACAATATGTTCATGATCTATTGCATACATTATGGCTGCTTCTTTTAAAAACTCTATCGGATTATTCTGCATTCTTTCTCGTGATAAACACTTAATTGCTACTTGTATTCTTTCACCATCATTTGTCCAAACACCTTGTTGAACAACTCCAAATTCTCCTGTTCCTAATTCTTTGTTCACAATAATTGCATCTGCTGGTATCATATGTTTATTAGGAACACGAATCGGTGGTTTATCTTGCCTTTCTTCTGGCAACATAGTTAAAGCACCTGTAGTTGGTTCTTCCCGTTTTGGTAGTAACATCTTTTTGAATTTAGATAAATAATTTTGTGGAAAATGTTTTTGAAAATATTTCTTTAAACGACGCATTTCTGGTTTACTCATTCCAATCGCATTTAAATCATCTTCTGTTACATATTTCAATTGAGCAGTTGTCTGTACTTTCAAGTCCCCTAAATGAATACAATAAATTATTTTCAATTTTTAAAAATTTTAAATTTTAACTTCAATAAAACTGCAAACCTCGAATTCCAGGATAATACTGTTGGAGTTCTGCTTCCATAAGGAATTCATACAAACCAGGTCCAGTGTTACGGGACATTCCCCCTTGTGTGTCTTTAAATAAATGAAAAAAATATATGTAAACACTATTAATATCTATTAAATAATTCTATAGAGCATAAATATTATTATAATAAATTACTAAAAATTATTATAATAATTATTACAGTAATTATTATTATACTAAAATTTAATATTCATACTAAAGTTATTATAAAAATTTATGAAACTTTTAAATTTATTTACAGAATTAAAAACAAAAGCAATCCTTACTATTATCTAACTCAATTAAATATTATTTTAAAAATCAAAACAAATTCTCGTTAATAAATTGATCATTAAATCACAATTAATTCATTTCACTTATATTTCAAAATAAAAAATTTCTTAAATTCTTGAATGATGAAAGAATAAAAATCTTGCTTTTGTTGTCATTAAATTTATTATTATCAAACACAAACCATCATTTTTAAATGCAGCTATTATATAAACATACATTGTCTATCACCAATAATATCCCAACAGCATCAAGCAAACAAGTTTTTATCCAAAGCACTAAAAAAATACGGAACAACTCGAAGTTTTTATACAAAAAGAAAGCATGAAATACACATAATGGTGGAAAATAGAAAATAATAGAAGCAAACCAGAGTGGGGAGAGTACAAAATTCCAGGCATGCGACAACGATCTCGGTGTGTAACGTGTGCACCATAGTCTTATAATTTTCCCCGATAAATTAGTTAATCGAAGTATCGAAAGT